CAGGTTTCCCGCTGAGCAGGGAGCCCAATGCGGGGCTCCATCCCAGGACCCTAGGATCATGACCTGAGCCAAAGGCAGACACCTAACGACTGAGCCACCCAGGCACCCCGAGAAAGCAAATCTTAAGCAGGCTCCACACCCAGTACAGAGCCCAATGCTGGGCTCTATCTCACAACCCTGAGATCATGACTTGAGCTGAAATCAAGTCAGACACTTAACTGACTGAGCCATCCAGGCGTCCCCTTCATGGTTTCTTTTGCAGTATGCTTTTTTTTATTTCTATCAAGAATTCCCTGAGATATTGTCTTTTTTCGGCTTTTTGTTTTTGGACATCTTTTTTACTCTACCACCCTTAAAAGTCTTTATCTACTTCTAGAGTTAAGAAATACTTACTTAGTGCCTAACGTGTGCTGGGAAGTATGCTGGCCCTGGGGATGCAGAAATGAACAAACCAGACACTCGCTGACTGTACTATTTACTTCTCCTACCTCACTGCAGATGCAGTCCTATAAATTGTTTCCAAATGCCTCTGATTTGTTTCCTCTATCTTATTATCACTGAATCTCTTGTTCAGGTCTACATCATTATTAGCTTGTTTTTGAAATAGCCTAGTGACTAGTGTCCTGTCTCTCTCCATTCCAGTCCATCCCACATGATATCCCAAACTAATGTTTTTAAACATTTATGTCATGCCCCTTAAAAATGCTCACTGGCTCTTTCCACTGTCTACAGAAGAAACTCCAGACTCCTTAAAAGGATGTTGGAAAGACCTTAGGTTTTGGAGTCAGAAGGCTTGGGTTGCATTCCCAATCTGCCATTTACTCACTCTGTGACCTATGTAAATAATCTTGCTAAGTTTTGATGTTCCCATCTATAAGATGGGATTAATGACTGGTGATGAAAACCAAATACGTAAGAAAGTGCTTTATATTTTTTAAGTGCTAGAGAGAATATGCTTTTTTTTTTTTCCTTTTTAATTTGGAGATAGTTACCATATTGAAAAGGGCCTAAGCTTCAGAGTTAAATAACAACCTATTTTCAAATTCCAGCTCCATTACTGTGAGACTTTGAACAAATTAGCAAATTTCTCTAAAACTGTTTTCCTATCTGTCAAAACATCTTTTTGTATGAATATCTGAAAATTAAATGAAAACTTTTAGCAGATAATCTAATCTCAGTTTCTGAGGTTAAAAATCTTATAATTGTATTTGACTAATCTGTTTCCTTGACTATCTAGGAATCAAACTATCAGGTTCTCCCAGCTCTTTCTGTGAAATAGTTCTTGGAATCACTTTTCTTTTCAAACCCATTATGATATTCCTTCAGTGTAATGATGATTATTTTTTAACAACTGCTACTGTTTATGAACGTTGCAGTTCTGGGCTAAAGACTTTGTATTAATTCTGTCATTTGATCTTCAAAACACCTTGTGAAGCAGCTATTCTTATCCTTATTTTATAGATCAGAAAAATCAAGACACAGCTTAAATACACTGCCCAAGTTACAGTTAGTTGAGTGGCAGGTGGGGACCAAACCCAGATATGAAGCCAAAGGTTTTGAATGAGTTGGGCTTTTTCAAGTTGAGTATAACAAAAAATAAGGATTTTTGAAGAGTATTATGAAGATATACAGAAAATAAAGAAGCACAGGAGACTGTTTCATGGAGTCTTACTGTCTATTTTGAAAGCAGAATATACTAACACTCTAGCAATCCAGTTATTTTGTTGGGCTCTCTGACGTGAGTGTTTGAGGTCCTAAAGCTTTTCTCCTTGCTTCTCTTGCTATTAATACTTCGTAACTTCTGCTGCCTTATGTGTTTGGCTGTCTCACTTCTCACTCACTAATGTACAACACAAACGCTTTACTCCAATTAAGGGGATCCCTTCACCGGCCCCAGAACAATTTCTCTCTCTACACCTTTGTTGCTGCTTTGAACACACATACTTCCTCCCTTTCTCTCCACCAGTCAAAAGCCTATCTTTCAAGACATCTTCATTACTTCTTCCCAACAGCTCCACTGGAGCTTGAGTGATTACTATGTGTCAAATCCTTTTCCTGACCCATGATGAACCCACAACATGAGCAAGAAATAAACCTTTTGAGATTTGGGAGTTATTTATTCTTGCAACATAATCTAGCCTATCCTGACTGTTACATGGACCTCAGGAAAGTTATTTAGCTTCTCCAAGCTTCACTTTCCTTATCTGAAAAATGGAGATTAAAACTGTATCTAGCAAATAAAGTTGCTCTGAGGATTAAATGAGATAATACAGATAAAAGTACTTAGCTTAAATACAGGTAAAAGCACTTAGCACAGTGCTAAGGAAGAAGTATATAATAATGTTAGTTATTTTTTTAAATTTGCATTATCACCAATTAGCAATTGGTCTGTTAGCAATGACAAATGAACATAATGGAGAGTGTTATTTGTTTTTGTTTTTTAAATTTTATTTATTTATTTGACAGAGAGAGAGATAGCAAGAGAGGGAACACAAGCAGGGGGAGTGGGACAGAGAGAAGCAGGCCTCCCACAGAGCGGGGAGCCCGATGTGGGGCTCGATCCCAGGACCCTGGGTTCATGACCTGAGCTGAAGGCAGACGCCCAACCGACTGAACCACCCAGGCACCCCGTTATTTGCTTTTCTAAACGTTAAGCTTCAAATTACAAATGTTATAGATTATTGTAATTTTAGCTAAAAACCTGGGCAGCTATGAATGAACACATTTTAAGATAACTACTATAGCGTTAGCCTACTTCATTATAAGAAATAGCTCTGTTGTGTTTTTTCATATCATAAATCTTGGAATCCCATGAAAAAAATAATGTTTCATATATATGCACTCTAAAACTCTTAAGCTTATTATGGAGACATTATCCTTGTTTTCAAAAGCCTATTTACACTAGGGATATATTGTACTATAAATAACAATTTAAATATGGGATCCAGATTAGCATATTTCATGACATCTCACACTATTTTTAAAAAGATTTTATTCATTTATTTGAGAGAGAGAGGGAGGGAGAGTGAGAGCGGTGGGGGAAGGAGCGGAGGGAGAGGGATAAGTAGACTCCATGTTGAGCATGGAGCCTGAGGAGAAGCTTGATCCCACAACCCTGAGATCATGACCTGAGCTGAAATCAAGGGTCAGATGCTCAACCGACTGAGCCACCCAGGTGCCCCAACATCTCACGCTATTAAATTTAATTAAATTTTCTCTCCAGCCGTATTATGTATGGTTTATTATTGTTTGAAGGCTGCCCAGACCTGATAAAGATAATAATGAACACTCATATCTGTATTAATTCATCATAATGTTAAAAGTGCTTTTACATACAGTCTCATTTGACTTTGAATCCTGTGAGTTATATAATATTTCCATTTCTAGTTGAAGAAAAATGAGGCTCAGTGACCTGTCTAAAGTAACAAAAAACTGGGACTGTAACCTAGGCCTCTTTACTACATATTTCACGCTTATGCCACCACAGAACCTATAGTAATAAACTATTACCGGAATAACAACTTCACACGTGCTCTATAGATCTATGTATCGTTAGCCTATAAGTCTACACAGAATAAATGTTACATAAAAAAGCAAGCTTATCATTATGACTTTTTTTTTCAGAAATGAGATTTGGGTCAGCAACAATGTGATAACTCTGGGGACATTTTTTTTGCTACCTAGCTTTTTCAGACTAATACACTTGGTAAGGCCAAGATAAACTTGGACAACATAACTCTTTAAACGGACAGTAAACTGACTTACAAAAACACTTCATAAAGTGCCAACAACTGAACCAAGAATTTCACATTCCTATTTTGAAAAAAATTAAAATTATGGTTTTATCAAAGAAATTTTGTTTTGACTAAACTTAGTAGCACCGAAAAACAAGCATCTATACTTTACAAATTAAAGAAACCCATACTGGAGAAATTGCTGAACAAAAAAAGTGTAGTTAGCTAAGATTTCCTCCAGGTGCCTCATCTAGGTCTTAGACGGAAATAAAACGTTTTAAGGAAACATTTCAAACAAACCAGTTGCTGTCCAATGTATCAAGAACAATGTATCTAAAGCGCCCAAAGTGACTTAAATGTGATCTTTTACTTTTTAGAAATTGCAACACCCCACTCTTTACAACATAGCCTCTTCTTCCAAATGACAGTACGGCAAATTTTGTGAAGACCTTGACATATACTACAAGTCACCCTGGAGAGAAGCAGAGATGAGAGTTGCTTGATACTTTTACTTTTTTCCCCCACACTTTCCAGAAGCCAACGTGCTTCTGGAAACATGAAAAATGGCTAAGCTGGAACCTCTTAACGTGGCTCATTGTACGCTACTCATTTCCAATACGTTGCATCTTACTTCTAGTTTCTGGCTTAGTTATTGGCAAGTCACTTTCTCTGAATGTTTCATTTCCAATTAAACAAGGAAATGGGTAAAGGACCATAAAGAGCTTTGATCCGCACAACGTCTTAGATATCATCAAAAGCCTTTCTTCCGGACGTTGGAGACAGGCACACAACGTTCTGCTTTCCCCCTCTCATTTCTGAACCCGGGCCTCTTCCTTTCAATCCCAGTTTGCGCTCTTTAAGGATAGCAAAGAGTGTTCCTTAGACGAGATCCAGTGCTCCTATGTCCTTAAACAAGGCCGGGAGAGGGTTTCGAGGCCTCAGCTGGTTGAGATGGTAGAGAGGACCCACCCTCGGCCCATCCCAAGTCTGGCGCCGTAGCCCCAGAGCAAGCGCGTGCTGAGGGGATCTCCGGTACCACGAGGCGCACGCTCGCCGGGCTGCGGTCCCAGTGGAGGGGTTGCGATTCCGAGGCGCGTGCCGAGACGACGGCAAGCGGAAACTGCTGGCTGCGAGGCCTGGCTGTTCTTGCCGGGGCGGGTGGGGGAAGGGCTGCAGTCACACCCGGAAGTCGGTCTGCGAAGGGTGGGGAGGACGAGGGGGGTGAGGCTTCCGGTAGCGCAAAGGGTGTCGGGAGAGGCTTCCAGCAAACCTTCTTCCTTGGCCTCTGGAGGGACCACCGTTGCCGCGGATTCGGCTTCCACGATCTGCGTTCGGGCTAAACGGCCACGGCGGCCGCTGCTGTCGCTCCCCTTGTGCCCGGCTCTGTCTGTATTCGTTCCCAGGCGGCCGCCACGGTTCCAGCAGCGGCCGCGGCCGACATGTTGTGAGGCGGCGGCGCGGGTGTCTGAAGGATGGTTTGGCAGAGGCGGCGGCAGCGGCTGCTGGCGGCGGCGGCAGCGGGGGCTCCGGCTCTTTAGAGCCAAGCCCGCTGGGTGTCCGCCCAGTACCGCGGTGAGGCCAGTGCCCCTGGACCTTGCCTCTGCTCCGGCGCGGTTGGGGACCGGTTAGGCGACAGCGCCCGCTCCTCTGAGGGGACACGAAGGTGGTTCCCCAGTGCTCAGATTTCCGGACCACCTTTGCTTTCTCCTCTCCGACCTGGGCAGTGCTGTCCCCGTAATCCTCAGCGTCCCGACCACCTTCCCAATCTCGCCCTAAATCTCTCACACGGGTGTTCCCCCACCCTCACGAACCGGCTCCTCCCCACCCCCCTTCATTTTCTGCACCCTCTTCTCTTCGCGCTCCTGGGATCACACTTTTGAGGGCAGCCTTTTGAAAAATTCGCGGAATAGTGCAGCAGAGCTGGGGAGTTTTTAAAAGTCGGGGCGCGCGCGAGAAGGAGATACGATGGCTTCCTCATCTGGCAACGATGATGATCTCACTATACCTAGAGCTGCTATCAATAAGATGATCAAAGAGACTCTCCCCAACGTCCGGGTGGCCAACGATGCCCGGGAGCTGGTGGTGAACTGCTGCACTGAATTCATTCACCTTATATCTTCTGAAGCCAATGAGATTTGCAACAAATCGGAAAAGAAGACCATCTCACCCGAGCACGTCATACAAGGTAAGTGGTAGGTGTGGGGTTTTGTTTAAATGAGGGTCGTGGACACCCTGCTAGTCGCGTGACCCGTTCATGTCAAAGCCTTCATTCCTCTCCCCTGGTAAGTCCTGGCAGACGGGGGGGGGGGGGGGAGGGGGGGGGGGGGGGAAGCCACGCGGGCATGGAAGCAGCCGGTGCCTTAAGAAACTCCTCTGTAGTATTGTGATGGTGCTTTTCATCCAGCGAGTACAAGTAAGGATTGCAAGCGTTTAGGTCAGCTCACATCCTCCAAAGATAAAGTGTTAGTTGCTGTCTCAGTTTACGGCCAGGTAAGCCGAAACAAGAATTTTGCCTTCCTAAAGTTGAACCCAGACATCACAACTGAGAAGTTGTCTGCCTAAAGTGGAACCTCGATCGTGACAACTGAGAAAGGAACCCAGAGTTCTCCCTTGGAAAGTGAAAATTCAGACAGGAACTTCAAGCGTGAGAGGCAGCACCCTTTCCCCACCCGACCTTTTTACCAGTGTAGAGGAAAAGATAAATTTTTTGAACACGAGTAGAAGAATTCTTAACATAAGTGTGTTCAACGCTGTAAAGTTTAGTGATGTTGAATAAAGACAGTATATTTTCTGCTTTAAAAATGGTTCAGTGGGGGCGTCTGGGTGGCTCAGTCGTTAAGCGTCTGCTTTTGGCTCAGGTCATGATCCCAGGGTCCTGGGATCGAGCCCCGCACTGGGCTCCCTGCTCAGCGGGAGCCTGCTTCTCCCTCTCCCACTCCCCCTGCTTGTGTTCCCTCTCTCGCTGTGTCTCTCTCTGTCAAATAAATAAATAAAATCTTAAAAAAAAAAATGGTTCAGTGGTCCTGCCATTCATCAAGTTAATAAAACTTTCCAGTTCTATTCTGTTAAGAAAAGGGCGGATGATCTTTAATTTCTTTCTTCTTCCCTCTTTCCTTCTTTTTTCTCTCTTTCTTAGGTTTTCTTTTGTGTAGCTTGCTTTGCTCTATGGAGATAAATTTTAAAGCTTGGATTGAAAGGTTGTAAGAGATTTTTTTCATGGAACATTTCCCTGTCCTTTCCTGCTGCCATTCCCATTTAGATGTATACGCGTAAGCTTTTATTGAACAGCATTTTTGAAAGTTTCAAGTCGTTTCTTATCTTGGAAAGGATTTAGCCCAGTAGTAGGGATTTGGGGGACCACATTTTGATGGTTTGTTTCAGGCATAGGGAGACATATTTACTAGTCCTAATTTTTTGAGAGCACTTACATATACTCTTATGAAAAAGTTGTATTCAGTTTGAGGTGATTATTTGCCTTTTATAAAATTCTAACAATTTTTTATTGCATTTGAAGTCAAAAAATCATGATTAATTTTAATCATTTTAGTAGGCAGGCAGTTGTCTACCATTTTATTTTTTATAATTTAACTTTTTAAAGGTGACTTTCCTATTATTCTGAAGTAGAGAACACATCTGCTTGTATTCACCATATCCAATATTTTACTGTCAATATTGACAAAAGAATTAAATGATTCATTTTTGGTCCTTAATGATGTGTGGAAGGTATATTTAAGTATACTCTGCTATTTCCACTTAAGTACATGAGGAGAAAAAAAATCTCTAAGAAAAATGATATTTGATTTTAAAGCTAGTATTTTTTTCTACTTGTTTGGTGTGTGGAGTACTCCGGCAAGTACAATGAAAGTCAAGTTCTATATGTTTTGTCTTGTGTTTTATTTTTACATCGTATGTACAATTGTCATAAGTCTTTCATAAGATTATCCAACACAGATAGCTACAATTTCCCTTTACAACTCATAACAAAGAAAAAGAGTCTTTTATCAACATTGCCTTTCTAATGAAAATTGCACAAGATTTCTAAAGGATCTGCCTAAACATTTGTTTACAACACAGAAGTGGGGATCATTCCAAAAATCTAATAACACATTACAATCTGTCTTCTTGTGTACTTTATTCTTTTCTAGGATATATTTAGATTTCTGATTGACATGATGGAATAAAAGTGCAGCTGTAGCGTGCAGTATGCTAAATAGCTCAACTTTGGAATATGCTAAATTCAGTTTAAGGTGTGAGTCAGAAAGTTCCAGTGAAAGCATTTTCCTTAGTGTACTGAGGATGATTAATTTTTTAAAAAAATCATTCATTGGGGGAAAAATAAATCATCCATTGACCTGTTATACTCTTACAAATTTACCCTTTTTTTTTGGTAACATTGCTGTTGTTAAGTAGATAGGGACCTACGATTTTTGCCCCCAATTCTGTCCAGTTAGGGGAATAAAATATATACATTTATCATCTTGTATTAATCTCACATTCCTTAATCATTTTAAAGAATTTTTGTCTTGAGTGGTTACATTTTTAAAAAGAAATCCTTAGGGTGTGTATTTTTTTAGGTGTTTAAAGCTTGCTAAATCATGGTAGATACACTTTTTTTTTGCTTTTCTGTCAGCACTGATTATTTTGGTATGTAGGATATATCCAAGTGGAATAATAATGTATATTTAAAGTTGTATGAATCTCACATGTTGAAGTTTAGATTTTCTAGTAATAAGTTTAATGAACTATATTTTGCTTTAGGACATGTCATTTTTCACTTGCTACTTTGCTTTACCTTGTCAGAGCAAATTAAGCATTTGAGGCAGTTCTGTAGAATGCAAGTTACTAAAGTTGAAATAATTTTATTGCCAGAAAATCTTTGAAATAGTTAAATTCAAAAAAAATTTCTAAATGTATTTGTTTTAGGAAAGTGGACTTCGTATTGAAGATCACAGATACGCAGAGGGGTTCTAAGCTATAAAAGGTGTTCCTTTTATTTCATTGCTGGTTTCTGTGAACACATTCTTTTTTTTTTTTTAAGATGTATTTATTTTAGAGCGAGTGTGGGGGAGGGGGCAAGGGGAGAGGGAGAGGGAGAATTTCAAGCCCCAGGATGGGGCTTGATCTCAGGATGCTGAGATCATGACCTGAGCTGAAATGAAGAGTCAGACGCTTAACCAACTGAGCCACCCAGGCACCCCTGTGAACACATATTCTTAAATGAATTTTAACACAGTCTGTTGTATTATGGAAAGAACTGACATTGAGTTAAGAGTGGCAAGTTCTACACTGGAAAGTCTTTGGCCTTATGCAAATCTGTTAAAGGTTTCCCCGTTTATGTATAAATAATACCTAATTGTTTCAGGTATTACTTGCATTTATTGAGAATCAGTTGAGGTTGAGACCCTTACATGATATGCTCTAATAATCATTTTTAAAATTATAATGGTACTGATCGAAACATAAAGCTGGAAGTCTGTTATGTTTAATCTTACAGCATGATGCCATTTGTTAAAGCCAAAGTGTAAGTAAGGATATTGTAAGTGACTTTTTTTTTTCATTTTTAATCTCCTGCTAAATCCCCCCCCCACATTTATAACAATAGTAACTGAAAGTAGTGAAAGTTTGAAAAAGTCTCTGAAGATTTGCTTCTTCAGCAATTGAGTTTCTCCAAGCTATCTATGTTAAAGGATTTTTAAAAATTCAGTCCCTCTCACACTGGTACTTTTGTAAAACACAGTAAAAATGGATCACTAGAAAAACAAAATTAAAAAAAGACAAAAGTTCAGTTTTTGTTGTTAGATTTAGTAGACATAAAATTACTGTCAAGTTGCTATGAAGGTTCTTTTTTTCCCCAGCTTTATTGAGATATAATTGACATAACATTGTGTAAGATTAAGGTGTACAACATAATGATTTGGTATGTGTACATATTTGTGAAATGATACCACCGTAAGTTTGTCCAACACATCCATCACCTGCACGTAGTTACAGTTTTGCTGCGAAGTTTCCAAAATGCTTACTTTGATTTTCATACTTAACCCATCGCAGACCATTATAAGCAGTTCTGGCACAAGTTCACGGACCATAGTTTGAGTAGATTTGCTATAAAGCCTAAACCACAGTCTATTTTAGAAAGTGGTTGTGAAGTAGTTTTTAAATCAGAGAATCTGAGTGATTGCAGAGAAGTTGTAATAATAAGGAGAATGTTACTGTATTACCTAAATAATCATGCATGCTTATATTTTTTTCCAAAGGGACACATTGTATATGGCATTGTTCTTTTCAAGTTGGGATTTTATTATTTTCCTTAAAACTGATATATCTTTCGTTTTTATTTTCCTTCTGCCACCCAACAATTTCTTTTGAATACTACTAGGTACTTGGCACTGTATTAGATACTGCTAAGGATAGAAAGATGGATGGTATTTGGTTCCTGCTCTGCTATCAGTCTCTCATTATTGTCCCAGATTCCCAGGAATAGTGATCCATAGAGGACATGGTTAAGGGTCTTCAGAAACCTTTGCCAGGCTCATGAGCCAAGAAGTCACATTGGCCTATATTATCCTCTAAATATATTTAAGTGAACTACATCAACCCCCTTCCCTTAACTTATAAACAAAAGAAAATAGAGAAATTTGAGAATGCTATTTTATGTATTTTAATTTTTTAATGAAAAATCTGCATTATACAGGTCACACAAAGTCTTGTTATAACAAAACTTTATAAGATTATATCACTTTTATAAAATAAGACTATATTAGAATTATTGTTGCTGGGTGGAAGTTTTACCTTTTTTTTTTAAAGTGTTTTTTAAGTGTTTGTCTTGTTAACATCTGTCTTTCAAATTGAAAAATGTGCCAAGTGTTTTTTTCCCCTAATATACCATGCACTTTTCTGGGTATAGTTTTAAAATACATGGCAGAGGATAGCAGACAGACCTCTGAGGAGCAAGTGATGTATGTGTTTTACCCACAGTTTTTTTGTTTTTTTTTTTTTATTTTCTGGCTTTTACTCTGAGATCCCTAGAGCCAGGGCCATAACAGTCCATTAAGTCTCTTTACACAAACTAGAAAAAGGCACTTTTTCCTTAAAAACCTTTACTACTATCTGCCAGAAAAGTGCCATAATAAACATACAAATCTGTGTTTACAGTAGGAATGGCCCTCCTTAGATATGGTACTGTTGTGCACTAAATAACCTGCACCACTGCAAATGATGGCCCTGCTTATGAGTCATTTCCCTTATCCTTTAAGATTCTCCTTTGTGTAAAATGGGAATGATTATTACTACATGGTAACAAATGATGTAAAACATCTTGTTTAGAAGATACTGTAACCACTTATGGCTATCTGTTAGCCAAAATGTATTTAAAATTTGGATTAAAGTCAATGTAGTTTTTGAAATTAAATTTATGGCTCTTCCCATTGAGACATTTTATTGAGAGTACAGATTTGTATATGGAAGCTCTGAATAATATTAAATATTAACCTTGGATTTACTTGCAAATTTTTTGAAAGCAGTGCTCTCAACCTTAGATGTTTTTAAAGGTGAATTCTTTGTTTTTTTTTTTAATTTTTAATTCAAGCCATCCATGGTTAAAGGTAGTTTGGATTGGATTTTTTTTTTTTTTTTGATGTCTAGTCTAGTAATTCATGATATTTTGAAGAGTTGTTTCCATTGTGTTGATTTGTTAATTTTATAAATTTTAGTATTTTATATTACAAATATATTCGTTCAACTTGAATTTAATGTGATAGTGCATATCTCTACATTTATTTAGGTCCTATACACTTATCAGGGCACTCTTTTATTTTTTTTTTAATTAATTTTTTTTTGGTAGGGCACTCTTTTAAACGTAAGAAAAAAAATAAAGATGAATAATAAATAGTCCAAGTGGTTAAGCTAATCTTATGTGCTAGACACTGTTAAATGCCTTAGATTACTTGTTTATTGATATTACTCTCACATCCAAAAATAATAAAAATATAATAGTGAGTACTTTATTTGCTCATTCTATGGGCCATCCTCTGTTTAAGCTCTTTGTTTATATTAATTCATTTATTCTTCACAGTAACCTGATCTAATGAGATAAAGATACTGTTATTCTTGTTTTAGAGGCACAGAGGTGAAGGAATTTATCTAGGGTCACACAGCTGAAATGAGGCAGAGCTGGGATCAGTCTGGCAGCCTTAGGGCCTACCTACATGCATAACCACTATACTGCATATGTTTTAGGAAGATATGAAATAGATGCTATTCTCAGAGAAGGAAAACTCAAGCTTGGGGATATGTATTGAAGGTTATATGAATATATTGACAACCAAATTTCAAATTCTAAGATATCTGTCTGATTTTACAAGGGGGAGATTACTTCTGTATAGAAGGATCAGGCAAGCTTAATTTGAAGATGGAGTTTGATTTGAGCCATGAATGCATTACCATCAGGATGAATGTGGGAAACTGATGTCTGCTGGGAAACACTGAGCTGTCAGATTTAGCATAAGCATGCAGGGATTTAATGGCAGAAATAAAGCTGGAAGGTGGGGCTACATCCTGGAGAAACTTGGTGTACACTAAGGAAATAAGACTTTCTTCAGAATGTGGGAGGAACCATAAGCCATTCTTGGTTTTGGTATTATCTCCAGCCAATATTACTGAAAATATACTATTACGTTCATGCCTTTAAAAAAGAGAGTAAAAGAAAAACTTTGACTTCTGTCATTGACGCTTAATAATCTGTCAATTCAAATAAAAAATGCAGGTTGCCTAATCTTCACTTAATTTTCCACTATACCCCAAGCTCCTTGAGGCCAAGAATTATGTGGTGGTTAATTTCATATACAGAATTCAGAGTAATGCTTTACTGAAGTTTTTTGGAGGGTGAAGAGGGGCAATAAGTTAATATAATTAAAGTTCAAGCAATAGTACTATGCTTTTTGGCATCAAGATTATTTCTAAAGAAGGTTGATGCAAACAGCTTAATATTTGAAGTAATTAAAATTATTAATCATTTCAAAATGTCTTAAAAACCACAGCTTACACAGGGGGGAATGTGTATTCATAAAGGTGTATTTGGTATTCTCCCTGAAGAGCAAATCCCTAATGTTAGAATTCAGGGCATCTTTACTGAGGGCACTCTGTTTCATCGTAATTGTTGAAAAACTACAAGAACTGATGAACTAAGTTAAGTTCATTTACTATGTTTTTCACCACCTATATTTCATCATTGGGTCAGAAAACAAAAATGCCAAAAAAAACACAAAAAAACCCCAAAATGCCTTTGGAGATATCAACAGATAGTAAACTATAAAATATAATTTTAATTACTGTGAGCCAAAAGGATACTTAATGCTTTGTCTTGATTACAGAAGGCATTTAGAAAGTACATTATTATAAAATATTCTTTTTAAGTGTGAAAAAATAAAGGGAGAGAATTTTTTGTTAATGCTTCTATCCTTATAGCTTTCCTTTATCCCATTTTTCTGCCACATCACTTGAAATGTTTTTGTAGTGCTTCGTGTTAAATTTTATTTTCAAGGGAAACTTGTTGGCTGAATATAAATGCTGAATTTCATAAGTTATTTCCACCAGTATTTCTTAAACTTGGCAGTTTGAGTGTCTTTGCTAAAAATAGTTTTCTGTTGATATATTGTACAAAAGAACTTATCTATTTTTTCATCCTATCGTACTGACACTTAGAACATGTGTTAACCAGCCTACCTTTTCTAAGCCAAATGGCACAAAATATGTTATTAACAAATAGATTCCAAATATTTCCTTTTTTTGTGTTCTTTGAAAAAGTGACTGAGTTAATGATGTTTGATTTACAATGAGTGGTATAGGAAAAATGTTTTCTTACTAAAAGCACATATTCTTACATTGGACTTTTTGTTTTTCTCACAGGAAATGCTTTGGTTTTTAAAAGTTAGAAAGAAAAGGAAAAGGAAAGACCTATTCTGTTAAATGTTCCTCAAGTTTTATCTAATTTGCAATTTAATATTAAGAAAGTTGATAAAATGGATTTAGCCATTCAGACAGTTGCTGTGCAACTATAAAATAGGTAAAATTATTACAAGACAGCAGCCCGCCCCCCAAAAAAACCCACAAAAGCTTAGTGTTCCATAGATGGGGGAAAGACTAAATTTTATCACTCTTTCATGTTTTCCTATTTTCATTTCCCTAGCACTAGAAAGTTTGGGCTTTGGCTCTTATATCAGTGAAGTAAAGGAAGTCTTACAAGAATGCAAGACTGTAGCATTAAAAAGAAGAAAGGCCAGTTCTCGTTTGGAAAACCTTGGCATTCCTGAAGAAGAATTATTAAGACAGCAACAAGAGTTATTTGCAAAAGTAAGTAATGCATTTTAAATTATTTTCATCTGAATCCTACCCTGTTTGCTAACAGAAATCGTACTGGTTTCTGAAATCATTTCCTAAATCAACATACATACCCAGAGGATTTTCTGTGGTTGATTGTTTGATCATAGAGTCTGATGTTTAGATCTAACTAACCAGTTTGACTCTGTTTGGCCAGTTATTTACTTCTTATAAAGGTATATATTTGTAGCAACCTGTTTTCTGAGGAGAATAACTCCAAATAACTACTGAGATTTTACTTTGATGGGTTTTTTTTTCCAGACAAAATACCCACTTAAAAGCATGAGAAGTATACCTAAACATTCTTAAAATTTAAAATGATGGACTGATGAGAAAATACTATATCAGATCTTATAATGAGTAGCATATGAGGAAAATTTGATAAACATCTATTTTATAGTTAAGTTTTTTTAATTTAGATTCAGTTAGCCAACATATAGTACATCATTGGTTTCAGATGTAGAGTTCAGTAATTCATCAGTTGCTTATAATAACCCGGTGTTCATCACATCACGTTGCCCTCCTTAATGCCCATCACCCTAGTTAAATTAAGTTTTTAACACACCTTTGAAACAAACATTCTCTAGGGACATCTGGGTGGCTCAGTCGGTTTAGCGTCTGCCTTTGGCTCAGGTCATGATCCCAGGGGCCTGGGATCGGGTTCCACATTGGGCTCCTTGCTCAGTGGGGAGCCTGCTTCTCCCTCTGCCTGTCAATCCCCCTGCTTTGTGCTCTCTCTCTGACAAATAAATAAATAAAATCTTTAAAAGAAATAATAAAACAAACATTCTAATCCAAAAAAATTTTGAAGGGCTAGTAGAACAGAGAAAGGGAGAGAACTTTTTTTTCTTATTAAAGTTCTGATTACCAGTTTGTGAAGGATTAGCACCAAGTACTAATATTCCTCTATTTTATTTTTTAATATTCCTCTATTTAAAAAAAAATAAAAAAGGAAGAGAGAGGATGAAGTTCTTTTTTCCCCACTAAGTTTTGGCCTCTCATTTGAGATTGTAAGGCAGTTTTGGTTTGAATAGAAAGGGTGAGATTTTGTGCTAGTTATTGTAGTTACCAGTATTGTGTTGTAGAACTGGGAAGTATCATTTTAGGTAATCTCTTCCAGATTGGCACCATACCTGATCTCTTTGTAGTAATAACAGTCATTTGGGTTTGAATCAAAAAGCATTTGAATTTTAAGTGTTGTCAGGTACTAAGCACTAGAAACCATTTAAACTAATAAGAAAAATAAAAGTTTACTAACATTTGAGTTCTAACCATGTGTTAATCATGTTGCTAAGTAATTTACCTGTATTTTTTTAATCCTCACAACCACCTATAAGTACTAAAGAGTTACTAAAAGCTTTTGAAGCAGGCATAAACACAAGCAAACAATATATAATCCATATGAATATGAGGTTACAAAGAAAGATGATTAAAAAAATTAATGGCTATTATTTATTAATTCTCTGCTATTATAGATCACCTAGAGAGTTCCAAATTAGATTTTTTTTTTTTTTTTAAAGGGAGGGAGAGAGGGTAGGGAGGGGGAGAGGGGGAGGGAGAGAGAGAATCTTAAACAGGCTCCATGACAGTGCGGAGCCCGACTCAGGGCTCTTCTTCACAATCCTGAGATCCTGACCTGAGCCAAAATCAAGAGTCAGATGCTTAACCGACTGAGCCACCCAGGTGCCCCCCAAATTAGATATTTGATGAAAAGAAAATGATTCTCTGCTAGATACTTTACATACTTTGCAGAGTTTTTATAAGTATGAGTAAAATAAATAAATGTAAATTTTCCTATACTCATTTACACATTAAGAAACAGATTTGGAGATGGAGAAACTTGATTGAGATCATTCATTCATTTGTTCTACAGATAATTACCGAAGTCCTCACTACTTACCAGACGTAGTGCTGTATTCTAGGCTTATAATAGTATACAAAAGAGACATGGTTCTTGCTATTCTGAAACGTAGTTTACTGGAAAGGATTGAGTTAAATAAAACAAGTAAGTTCATATAGTTAGGAAGTGTTGGAGTCTAAATTCAAAACTCACATCTTCTGACTCCAAAACTTGCTCTTTCTTCGTTACCATGCTAATGTTCTAGCCCATATTTTGTCTGCTTAACTTTATTTTGGAACTTTTTTTTAAAGATTTTATTTATTTATTTGATGGAGAGAGAGAGAGAGAGAGAGAGACAGTGAGAGAGGAAACACAAGCAGGGGGAGTGGGAGAGGGAGAAGCAGGCGCCGAGCAGGGAGCCCAATGCGGGGCTCGATACCAGGACCCTGGGATCATGACCCGAGCCGATGGCAGACGCCCCAACGACTGAGCCACCCAGGCGCCCCTATTTTGGAACTTTTAAGTGGAACATGCCTTATCCTTTCCAGGGCAAAAAGAAGAACGAAAGAAATCTGCCAAATCTGTCTTTGCTTTTCTATGCTTGTCATCTGTTTTTTCCTCTTCCTTATCTCCCTTCTTTCTTACCCTCATCTATGGGGTCAAGATCCCTTAGTATTTCTTTGCTCTTGTGAGAAGATCAGCAGAGAGATAAAATTATAGCACCTATCCAGTACTTCTTTCTCAAAGCACAAAGCAGTGAAGTCCTAAATATGAAAGGAACTGTTAAGTAAATATAATACCTTTTTCATTAGTTTCATTTCATTTCATCTTTTAGACTTTATTTTTTTTTTTTCAAAGATTTTATTTATTTGACAGAGAGAGAGACAGCCAGAGAGGGAACACAAGCAGGGGGAGCAGGAGAGGGAGAAGCAGGCTTCCCACAGAGCGGGGAGCCCAACGTGGGGCTTGATTCCAGGATTCCGGGATCATGACCCGAGCCAAAGGCAGAAGAAGCTTAATGACTGAGCCACCCAGGCACCCCTCATCTTTTAGACTTTAAACACTAACACAATTGCAGCCTCATTTGAAGCTGTCTTTCAGCTGTTAGCAACAAATATTTGGAAAGGGGAAACCATTAATATACTGAAATTAAGGTTAACTCTGAATTATAAATGAGTCGTTTTAGTATTTGGGAATGAGCTTCTTAAAACATAGGAAAACTCTCCAAAAGAAGAAATGAATTAGGAAATATCTATTTACTCTCTTTCACACTCCCATTTTAGAAGAAAAATACTTGGGGTACATTGGATAAGAGGCAAGAGGAAAAAAGGAAATTAGAAAAAGTACCACTGAATATAAACAAAATCTATCAGCAAAGATTTTAAGGGCACAGGAATGTTTTTATGTCCAGACAGAAAAGTGTGGTTGCTGATATGGGGCCATGGTACTTAAAAGTCAGTTAAATTTTAATTGTAATCAGTACGTGTCTTTGCAGATCACTGAATAAACATGAGATCAAGCACCTTTTGCAATTAAACCTGTGTAGAGACCTGAAACTATTTGAGTTTTTTTTTCTGTGCTATGAAATTTTACCTATTTATAGTTGATTAAGGCACAGAGTAGGTATTCTTAAGTTTATTAAATTCAAATATTTGGTTTGACCTATAATTTTCTTATGAACTTTTTTTAAAAGATTTTATTTATTTATTTGGGAGAGAGAGTGTGCAAGCGAGTGAGAGAGAACCCAAGCAGGGGGGAGGGGCAAAGGGAGAGGGAGAAGCAAGACTCCCCACTGAGCAGGGAGCCTGATCTGGAACTCCCTCTCAGGACCCTGGGATCATGACCTGAGCCAAAGGCAGATGCTTAACCGACTGAGCCACCCAGGCGCCCCATTATGAACTCTTAAAATGTTTTTCATGAAGCATTCTTAGTCTGTTTTACACTCCAGGTATTCCTGCCATAAAAGTAAATATGTGTGTTAGAATAACTATTTTCCATACTTTTTTAAAATAAAAATGGATGAAAGTGGTGATGAGAATATCTGGTTTTTTATTTCCTAAACAAAAAAAGTTTTTGTTTTGTAGGAGAGGTATGATAATAGGTACACTAACAACTATAATATGAGGCTGACTGTTTCACAAGGAAGGTATAGAGATCCCAAGAACGGAGACATCACATTAGATTTTGGCAGTGTAAGAGTGTGCCAGTTATTTTGCATGTGAGTGCTAATACAAATTTAAACCTAAGCCGACTTCACATGTCTCCTTATGAATGTTGACAATGGAAGGAATACCTTGCCTGTAGTATAATATCAGTTCTGGACTGAAAAGCTGGGGAAGAAACTTAATTTTCTTTTTTGCATAACTCAGAAAAACAGCTAGTGTGCAGTTTTCTTGTTGACCTCAGCAGATGAACTGAGCTGATAGTGTTAATTCAGATTCAAGATTATCTGAATCTTGATTTGTGTAGATTTGTGATCCACATGCAATATTAACTAAATTGGATAGCTTTTGGGACGCCTGGGTGGCTCAGTTGGTTAAGCCTTTGCCTTCGGCTCAGGTCATGATCCCAGGGCCCTGGGATCGAGCTGCACATCGGCCTCCCTGCTCAGGGGCGAGTCTGCTTCTCCCTCTGCCTGCCACCCCCACTGCTTATGCTCTCTCTCTCTCTGACAAATAAATAAGTGAAATCTTAAAAAAAATAAATTGGATAGCTTTACATTTTCACATTTTTACATAGGCTCTCCCCACCCTTTTCAACATCCATTAGTTATTGAACTTTGTAAACTGGCATTGAAACATTACAATGTTTTGTTGTAGCATTTGATGGAGAATCTTTTGTATACACTTGTAGTAGGTGAAAAATAAATCAAATACAAATCCTTTTTTTTTTTTTTGAGCTTTATATACTAAGTTTTTGGTCCAAATTGAGTAGAATAAGTTAAACTTATATTGCATTCTGTTACCCAATGAGTGTATTTTTGTAAGCATAATTATGTTTAAATAAAATTTTAAAAAGAAAAAAACATGCGCCAGTTACTAAACAATTTTCTTAGCCTGAAACCCGCCTTTCTATGCTTTGATTTGTGACCAAGCCTAGTACTCTGCAAACCGAGTTTCTGCTTTTCTTGTGGACTTCATTATAGACTCTGCTGCCACGAGGGGGTTCTGGAGGGAGATTGCCAGGTTAGAGGTGGAAGGCAGCACTTGGGCTCCTTTCTTTTACTAACTGTTGGCTTCAGTCTCTTTTGAATAACCTACCAGTGCTTCTTCACTCTGGCTGCATCAGTTTTTTTTTTTCCTGTAGCAGGACCTGAATCCAGTTTGCAGTTTTCTTTAATACTTAACAGAACCAGCCTAAACATTCACCCTCTTCCTTAGGGATGTGGGTCTCAAACCTTGGGTCACTCTACCAAGCTCAAGAGATGCTTACCAGCCAATCTATGTCCCTTCTTCAGAGGTCTGAGTTTCACTTCCATGGATTGTTCCTTTAAGCGTCTTAAGTTTTAAGAATTCCAGCCTCTTCCTTTGTTTCCCCAGTTTTAGGGATGGTGGCTGGTTTTGATAGTTACCAGTTGCATGATATCTTAGTGTTTTCTTGCCTTTTCAATGACATAGTTACCAGCTTTATACTTGGTTAACAATCCTTTATATTTCATTTTCTCTGTTCCCCTACTAGTGTGACTTCTATCTCCTGATTAGATCCTGAATGATACAGTTAGGAATCAGGAAAAAACTTAATGGATAAAATAGTATTTCAGTTTGAGTTGAAGGAAGAGTGGAATTTCGTGAAAATTAGGAAATTTCAAATAGAGTGAATATCAGCATGAGTTAAGGTAGCAAAAATGGGAGGGTATGGTGTATCTGGGAAATATTTTATGTTCTAAGTTTTTTTGGAGTACCAAGTATATATTACAGAAGTTGATTTGGGAGATAGGTTAGGGCAGGCAGTAATTTGGATGACCTTGAACTCTAGGCTGAGAAAGTGGACTTAATTGGTATAACAGATGATTTTTTTAAAGTATGATCATGGCCTGATTAGAATTCGCATCTAGAAATGTTTGGATAGTAAATTCATGACAGATTATTAAGAAAAGTTAGAAATGCACATGGTAAAATCTTAATGTTAGAGTTATGCTGAGTATTACCATTTCCCCACAAAATATTCATTCAGAAAATACTGGAGGCCTATATGTTGGGAATGCAGCAAAGAGTATGAAAATATTCTCTATTCTCAAGTCTAGTGGAGAAAAAAGATAATATGCTCAGATAATTAAAGAATAAAGTAGATAGGTGTAGGAATGCATAGAGAATTATGGCATATGAAATAGAGTATTCAATATGACCTAGAAGGGTCAAGAAAGACCAATTTCTATTTTAAATGATAACTAGGAATTGGCCATGCATAAAGGAAGGTAGACGATATGAGCCAGGCTTAAGGAATAATTCTGAGAAAAGGCAGAGAAAGAGAAACAGCATTATTTCGGTAGAATCCAATGGGAGGGGCGCCTGGGTGGCTCAGTCGTTAAGCGTCTGCCTTGGGCTCAGGTCATGATCCCGGGGTCCTGGGATCGAGCACCGCATCGGGCTCCCTGCTGAGTGGGGAGTCTGCTTCTCCCTCCCCCACTCCCCCTGCTTGTGTTCCCTCTCTCGCTGTGTCTCTCTCTGTCAAATAAATAAAATCTTTAAAAAAAAAAAAAAAAGAATCCAATGGGAAATTATATGATCTTTTCAAGAACAGATTCATTTTTTTCCCTTTTCGTGGGATTTTTCTGTGAGTGGATGAAATTAAATTGGGAAAGAGCTTTAGATGTTGCAACAGTGTGTGTGATGCATATGTATGTATCTTAGTTTCTAAAATTCTTTATTAAGAATAAAGCTTTAGAATATAAATCTTTATTTATTTTTCTATTTATTTATTCAAAGTAGGCTCCATGCCCAGTGTGGGGCTTGAACTCCTGACCCTGAGATCAAGAGTCTCATGCTCTACTTACTGAGCCAGCCAGGCGCCCTGGTTTCTAAAAATTCTGTGATGATTGTTGGAGACGCTATATATCAGATGAATGGATTTTAACTATCTCACTTAAATTCAGTCCTGGATAAGTGCCTTTTCTTTACTGTGTATGGGAAGGGTGTACGTGTGTGTGTATTTATGGGGAGAGGGACAGAGGAGAAATGTATGTATAGGGTAGGGAACTGTGAGAGAAACTCAAACATCAGAGCGTCTGGGTGGCTCAGTTGGTTAAGCATCCAACTCTTGATTTTGGCTCAGGTCATGATCTCAGGGTCGTGGGTTAGAGCCCCCCGTCGGGCTCTGTGCTCAGGGCAGAGTCTGCTTATCCCTATCTCTCTCCCTCTGCTACTCTCCCAGGCACTCAAGCCCGTGCGCTCGCTCTGTCTCTCTCAAATAAGTAAATATCTTAAAAAAAAAAAAACTCTCAAACATCAAGGTAGCTATTGCATTCATGTATAGTACTTCTCCTTAAGAGTTAGAGGTACTGTACTAGACAATATTTAAACCACAGAAATAATTTTTAGATTGAAAAATGTTTACATGTTAACTGTGAGTTGAGGGGACAGAAGAATCAAGTGAAACAAAAGGAATGAGAAGCAGAGAAAGGGGCGCCTGGGTGGCTCAGTTGGTTAAGCGACTGCCTTCGGCTCAGGTCATGATCCTGGAGTCCCGGGATCAAGGCCCGCATCGGGCTCCCTGCTCGGCAGGGAGTCTGCTTCTCCCTCTGACCCTCTTCCCTCTCATGTGCTCTCTCTCTCTCATTCTCTTTCTCTCAAATAAATAAATAAAATCTTTAAAAAAAAAAAAAAAAAAGCAGAGAAAGGAACCAAAGAGAGGACATTGTGATTTTTCTACCAGCTTTTTCAACTTCAGTTGAGCCAAAGGTCATAAAATTATGTGGCATAAAGGGGACTGTCTGTAAAAGAACGAAGTTTTGGAAACTGTCCTTAGTTGACAGAGAGGCAGTCATCTATATTTTCTTATAGAGTTCATGTTCTCCAGATGTATAACAGTTATATTGTGGTTGGAAAATACCCAAATTTGATGATTAAGTCTGTAATTGGCTTAATTTATATTTAACTGAAGTGTATATGTTGTGAGTTTAAAAAATATATACATTATTTGTTTTTATGTTTTTGGTGTTTAGGCTAGACAGCAACAAGCAGAATTGGCCCAGCAGGAATGGCTTCAAATGCAGCAAGCTGCTCAGCAAGCACAGCTTGCTGCCACAGCCAGTGCATCTAACCAGGCAGGATCTTCTCAGGATGAAGAAGATGATGATGATATCTGAAATTTACCAGCTGAGTTTCTATTTCCTCTATAAATGTTTTTCCCTGCACAAGAAAACAGTGAAAGAAATGCTTATCTGTAATTTTGTATGCATCTTGGTGGACTTGCCATTGGTATTCTAGGGATGTCTGTTGTTAAGTTTCATCTATTGTGTGCTACTCATGTAAAAACTGTCTCTTTGAACTATTGAAAATTTAAGGTTCAGTATAATATCAATTTTGAATTTTTAATGGTGTTTATGAAATTTTAGATAGCAGTGAGTCCTTTATTTGATCAATAAACAGTGTTACAGAAAACGTCAAGTTTATAAAATACAGTGAAATTTATACATACAGAAACTAAATCTGCATTTGCATTTCCTCTGCCCTTTTAACTAAACTAAAAATTGGGAATTTTAAATTATTGGGGGGAGGGTGTTGTGTGATGCAGTAGATGTTAGATCAGGTTGGTGAAAAAACAGTTCAGTTTTGTAGTATCTGAATTTTTTGTCTTTTAAAATGAGTATATATATATATATATATATATATAGGCAGTAAATATATATGCTCAGATAAATATACTTGTTTAGAAAAAAATCTCTAAACATTCAAAAACTAAGAAGGAGTGTGTTCAATAGCTGTATAAATTCAGTGGGTTATGTTTCTGATTTTGTTTTTGTTTTATGTAGAGGTAAAAACTACAGTTTTATTATGGCATAATTCATCTTGAGCTGCGCTATTACATTTCAAAGACTGCCCAATTTTGAGGACTGTCATGATTCTTACTATTTCACTCCAATAATTGTTAATAGTATTACTTGCTTAGTCCATCCATGTTTATTGGACCTTGTGAAACAATTGCTTAGGTTCCATTGGTTTAATGGAGATTCATGAATATTCAAACCTTTGCTGGGGGAAAGAAATGAAAGTTAATAAGCATGCTTACTGTAAAAGAGGGATTTTTTTTGTAATTTAACTTGTAGTTATAGTTTACTTATTGTTTGTTTTTAGCATTACTTTTACATTTTCTTGACTAGATGGCCTAGAGTGTCCAGTGCTTCCTTTTGAAATGGCATCATTGTCTCCATCATAATTGAGTGATAGCTTTAAAAATGATTGGCTTTATTTTGTTTAAGAAAGCATGTCATAACAGATCAGCCCTATGTGAAACATAAATAGTTTCAACCTACTCATTAAAAGGGAGAAGGTTTACTTTGGTTACAATAAAAATAAAGTAGTGATTTTTATAGGAATCCAGTGAGTTGAGGAAATGGCATATTGTGTGTATTTTGGAAACAGAATGAAAAAGCCTCTTAAGATAGTATAGAGCAATCTAAATTCCTATGTCAGTTGCCAAATCACTTAAATTTATATATTTACCAAGCCCAAGGATAAATTGTGGCTGCTGGGATTCCAGTTTTAATTGAAGAGCTAAATAAGTGAAGTTTATAAGTATTAGATTTCTTAATGATCTTATTTTGCAGTTTTAGAAAAAATGAAATATTAGCATATGTTTATTAAATACACTTCCCCCATGCCATGAAAAGGTTAATTTTGCTGGATGTTTTAAGTTGAAGTTGATACTGTATCCTTGAAGTGCTTTGGACAAGATAGAAGGGGTTGTTTTTTTAAAAGTTTAAGTACCAAAGGTAGTCTAGTCTAAGAAATAATAAGTTAATAAGTGTTGGCTTTTCTAATTTGTACTGTAACATCCATATACTTTCTATTTTAAGATTATCTGTTTCTTAAGTAAACAACTTAGATATTTTTCCACACTTTTTTTTTCCCTGATGCAGAGTTCAGGTTAATTAATATTTTACTGCATCTGATAATGTATTATATGTTTGAAGCCTAGTGACTTTTCATTTTGACATTCTTGTGATTTCATATGCTGTATTCTTCAAGCAATAAAATTCTGATGTGTTTTATAAATTGTTTTTACATTTAATAATCTACGTAGATTAGCAGCAGATTTCTATTATTAACATTTTTACTAATTTCAAGAATCTTAGGCCCAGAAGATATTTTTATCATTTGGTGTATAGTACCTGACTTTCTCCTTTATTGTTATTTCAGGAAATGTGGTTTTACTTGTACTTTTGTAATTTACAGTCCTAGGATCTAGGCATAACAAAGCTAATTAAGCAGTGTTTTACTTTTATTTTTTAACATTTAAAAGTCACTATACTGTCTGTTGAGATTTTTAAAATCTTGTGGAGATAGAAACAAATCTTTAGGGTTCTTGAGAAATAAGGTTATTGTTTAGTAAATATTTTCCCCACTTCCTTGAATACATACCTGTCTTTTTCAGTAGCCTATCAAATTGATAAATGCTGAAAAGTTACCAATTTTTAAAAACTGCATATACCATCCATCTAGAAGAGTATATAAGTGAGGGTTTTGACAAATTAAACATAGTCCTATCACTGACCCTCAGATCAACATACAGCTGTACGAACACCCCAGAAGCCCCTCTTGCCCCTATTTTAACAGTACCTTCTTCCTCCCCAGAAGTAACTACTGTTCTGTTTTCTAAAACCATAGATTAGTTTTGTCTTTTATTTTGTGTAGATGCAATCATAAATAATACACTTTTTAAAAACTTTTACAACTTCACTTTAATAAGTCTTATACAGGCTTACTAAAGAAAAGTATTATACCCTTTATACCATAATAAAAATTGAAAATTTACATTCCAACTGACTAGCTTAAAGAGTTTAAGATCACTTCCACATTTATAGAGCCTAATTAAGGCTAGAAAGGCACATTCCTATCTTCCATTTCATATTTAACCCTTTTGTCCTGAGAAAGGAGGCTTAGCTGTTTCTTCAGTTTCTTTTTCTTGTTCTAGTATCTTTGTAGGGTGAGATTAACATTTCCAGAGTTTTGGAAAAGTTCACTTTACAGCAGCTGAACAGAGCAGACAGTCTCTGAGTTGCATTCTTTCTGGTTAAGTGCTGGATACACTTGGCTTGTGTTTTACTGAGGGATTCAAGTATCTGACCAGTTCTTAAACCTGTTAAAACTTGTACTTGCTGTATTTCTGTTCCAAACGGCTGAAAGAGCTCTAGTAGGATCACACCCAAGCTATACATATCTGATATGGCGTCACACTCAGATCCTTCTAACTCTTCAGTTTAAGGGTACAGACAAGTACCTACTCTGGAAGTATGTGTTGGTGTTCTCTTGCCATGTCTATTGATCCAGTCTGTGTTCTTCTGTATGATGTCTGTGCAGGCCAGACCAGTCTCCTATTTTTACTTGCTGATCAGGGCCATGAGGAAAATATTTCTGGGCTTCAGATATATGTGTACTATTCTCATGTTATGAATGTAAAATACACCTTCCTCCAATTCTTGAAAGATTTTTATTGCAACACTGGCCATAACATAAGGACATGCAGATTAGCCCCCACACTCCTGGCCCTGCTTGTTTCTCTCAGCTATCCAGTCTCACAGAGAGAGTCCCACAGCTGGATCTGGATGTGCAACATCAGGTGACACTCCATGAGATGATGTCTGCCCCAACAAGTTTTAAGTTTTCTTCAGAAGATTCCTCGATGGATGTGAAATTCTCTTCAAAGTCGCAATCATGCCTAAGTGGCCGCTGATGTTCAACAATCTGGAAGACAAATCAGCCAAGCCATTTTCTTGGAGTAAAAGGAATGATTCAAATTCACTGGCATCTTTTGTGACTAAATTGGTGATGTAGTTCATCAGTCTGTTAGTCTGATTTTCAATGCCAGATTCTTCTAAGGATTTTTCTTTTTCTAGGGTGAACTTGGTGAGGATAGTGGATGAGCTGTTACTTTAATCATTTTTAACATCATACTGATTTTTGTCATCCTCCTGGTTCCAACCTCACTTCCACAGATGGCAACTGAATAGAAATTCTACCTTGCATTCGGGCCACAGGAACGTGTTCTATCCAAGCATTATGATGGCCCTACAATTAGGATACCGAAGACCTGCCAGTACCTTCACTCACCATAGTACCTCCAAGCAATCTGTTTAGTTGCACCCTTAATCAGGATTTTTTTAATTGTAAATTTTTAATTGCAAAACACTGACCATCTAATTTATTCCTGATCTTGTATACTCTTTCATATCTACCTTTTCCTAAGGTGGCAAGCTGTTGTAGTTCATTTAAGTAACGTGAAGTTTGTTCTTCAGAGCTACCTCCCTTGATCTGATCTTCTGGGTGTGAGAATTATCATCTCAAGGATCCTGAGGCGCTCTTTCTTTAGCTGACCTCATTAAATGAGCAATAGCTTGGGGGCGCCTGGCTGGCTCAGTTGGTAGAGCATGTGACTCTTGATCTTGGGGTTGTGAGTTTACACCCCATGCTGGGTGTAGAGATTACTTTAAAATATTTTTTTTTTAAGATTTATTTGTTTTAGAAAGCAAGAGAGAGCGCACGAGTGGGAGTAGGGACAGAAAGAGAGGGAGAGAAGGTGGATGGGGGCTAGAAGAGGGCTGCCAGCATTCTGGGTGCCTCACAGCCCTGGGCCAGGAAGTCTATGACAGGTGCCATGCACAGGCACACCCTGTTCCATTGCCCTCTTCCTCATACTCCTAGGCTCTGGAGCTGCTCCCTAGCGTCATGGACTGCAGCCCTGCCTGCCTGCCAATCCAGTGCCACCTCACTCAGCACCCCAATGTACTCTTTTTTTAAAAGATTTTATTTATTAGAGCACAAGCAGGGGGAGTGAGAGAGGGAGAAGCAGACTTCCCACTGAGCAGGGAGCCGGATGCGGGACTCTGTCCTGGGACCCTGAGATCATGCCTGAGCTGAAGGCAGATGCCTACTGACTGAGCCACCCAGGCACTGCCCGCCCGCCCCCCCACCGTGGTGTACTATTTTATTTGATCATTGCTATATTTGTGAGTATACTGGTTTTCTGATGCCACTGTAACAAATTACCACAAACTTAGTGACTTAAAACAACACAAATTCATTCTCTTTAGTCCTGGAGATCAGAAGTCCTAAACTATTTTTATTAGGCCAAAGTCAAGCTATCAGCAGGGTTGGTTCCTGAATCTGAAGGTTGTGAATGGAACGTCTGTTTCCTTGCCTTTTTCAGCTTCCAGTGGCTCCCTGTAGTTTTTGTGGCCCCTTACCTGGTATTAAAGCCTCTGCTTTCATCATCACATCACTTTTTCTGTAGTCTAATCTTCCTCTGCCTCTACCTTTAGGGCCCACCTGGATAATCCAGGATAATCTCATTTCAAGATCCTTAATTTAATCACACCAGCAAAACCTCTTTTGCCACATAAGATAACATTCACAGGTTCCCTGGAGTTAGATCCTAGATATCTTTGGAAGCCATTATTCAACTTGGTAGAGTGAGATTTACTCAGAATGTATGTGTTTATAGTCATTCATTCTCATTGCTGAATAGTATTTCATTAGTTTAACCATTTTTATTATATCCAAAATTTTTCCATTCTACCATTGATGGGTATTTGAGGAATTTCTAGTTCCTGGCTATTATGAATAATGCTGTGGAGAACGTTCTTATACATGTCTTTTGGTGACTGTATATATGCACTTCTGTTGAATATATACCTGGGAGTGGAATTGCTGGGTCATGGGGTGTGCACATATTTGGTTTTAGTATGTATGTCAATTTTCCAAAAGCTTACTAGATGGCACTATTTTAATATGTACCATTATAATGAATTACTCTAAAGGTCTAGAGGCCTGACAATGTTAGTGAATTTCTCAAAATACCTAAATTTTACCAAATGAGTTATATTTGCTACAGCAGGTCTGTTGTTATTTAATATCACACAAGATGAAAATAAAAGCAAAAGTATTTGTTCTTATTATAGACACAGTAGTATTGTGCACTCAGATTATTGCTCCTCAGAAGAAATTCAAGTTTTAGGTAATCATAAATAGTATGTTGAGTTTATAAATAGAATGTTTAGTTATGGAAAATATATGATTTACATTTTTAATTGAATTAAAATGTTTTTGTTATAACCTTTTTTGGAAATAGAGCTATTTCCTCATACGCAAATGGCCACGAGGAAGAATTATCTAATCCAGATGGCATAGACGGCCTTCCACTGGGCTTCACTTGGATTGTGTTTGTTTCTTTTCTTCTCCTCTGTCCCCAACACCTTGGCCCCCTCTACTTTTTACCTTGCCCCACGGCATAGAATATCATGGGTAGGGTTGGCCGGGGTGAAGAGAATGACTGCATAAATAGCATCCTTTCACCTATACCCCCAAGCATCACCACTGATCCTTCTTCTATTTCCTCAAAATAAAAGGTCTACTCTTACATATGTACTTAAATTTGCTTTTTCCCTATACAAGATATGAGTGAAAAGAGAAGGTAGGGAAGCAAAGGCGGCAACTTTTAACTTATAATCAATTTCTACCAGAAATCAAGCAACTTAGTAGAACCTTAGAATTTCTTAATTTTTTAGAACTTAGGATTTCTCAACCTCAGCGTTATTGGCATTTGGGGTCAGTTAACTCTTTGTTATGAGAGGCTGTCTTGTGTGTTGTGAGTTTAGCAGCATCCCTGGCTTCTATGTACGTACTGGGTGCCAGTAGCACCCCCCACCATTTGTAACAAGCCCAAAATGCCTCCAGACATCCCTAGATGTCTTGGGAGGGGGTGCAAAATCACCCCATGTTGAGAACGTTACAACATCTAGGTTTTTACTTTTTTCTTTTTTTAAAGATTTTATTTATTTATTTGAGAGAGAGAGAGAGAGAGAAACAGCATGAGAGGGGAGAGGGTCAGAGGGAGAAGCAGGCTCCCCACTGAGCCGGGAACCCGATGTGGGACTCGATCCCGGGACTCCAGGATCATGACCTGAGCCGAAGGCAGTCGCTTAACCAACTGAGCCACCCAGGCGCCCTAGGTTTTTACTTTTAGGATAGGGTACTGGGGAAAGACTGAAATTGAACCTCTGTTTGGAAGCAACACATGGTGTAAATCAGTAAGACAAAAAGAAGCAAGGTGATTTGGAGAGAATAGACCCGGGATTAAAATATATTTTAAGGAAAGTAAAATCTTAAAGGTGGCTCTGACTTCACCTCTGTAGATCTCTGTACCCCCTAGAAAGCTGGTCCAGTTCTTAAAAAACTACCTGCTTGGGGTGCCTGGATGGCTCAGTCGGTTAAGCGTCTGCCTTCAGCTCAGGTCATGATCTCAGGGTCCTGGGATAGAGTTCCATACTGGGCTCCTTGCTCAGTGGGGAGCCTGCTTCTCCTTCTCCCCCTGCTCATGAGCTCTCTCTCTCTCTCTCACTCACTCTTTCTCTCAAATAAATAAATAAAATCTTAAAAAAAGAATTTTTTTTTTAAAAATCTACCTGCTCATTGCTTTTCACCCAGAGATCCCAGCCAAACCCAGTTTAAGATAGATCAGGTATACTGTCTCATTACAGTGTGTATCTTTTAACAAGTATTTTAAATTGCTTTTTTTTTATTTTTAATTTTTTTAAAGATTTTATTTATTTTTTTGACAGAGAGAGACACAGAGCAAGAGGGGACACAAGCAGGGGGAGTGGGAGAGGGAGAAGCAGGCTTCCCACCGAGCAGGGAGCCCAATGTGGGGCTCGATTCCAGGACCCTGGGATCATGACCTGAGCTGAAGGTAGATACTTAACAACTAAGCCACCCAGGCACCCCTTAATTGCTTTTATTGTGGTTAAATATACATATAAAACGCGCTTTTATTGTGGTTAAATATACATATAAAACGTACCATTTTAATCATTTTTAAGTGTTCAGTTCAGTGACATTAAGGACCTTGATAATTGTTGTACAACCATCACTATCTCCAGAACGTTTTTATTATCCCACACTAAAATACTGTACCCATTAAACAGTAATTCCCCATTCTTCTCTCCCTGCAGCCACTGGTAACCACGGTTTTGCTTTCTGTTTCTAATGAATTCAATGATTCTAGGTACCTCATATAAGTGGAATCATACGGTATTTACCCTTTTGTGTCTGATTTATTTCACTTAGCATCATGCTTTGAAGGTTCATGTTGTAACATGTATCAGAACTTCATTCCTTTTACAGCTGAATAATATTCCATTGTATATATATGCCACATTTGTTTATTCATCTATTGATGAATGGGTAGCTTCCACTTTTTGGCTATTGTGAATAATGCTGCTAGGGACATAGGTGTACAAATATCTGGTTCCTAACAAGCATGTTTTTTTGAGTGTACAGATTTGTATTTTGAGAATTGAAACAAGAAGTATGGTACAAATGCACATATAAAGATAGTTTATAATATATGATAAATATGACATGAATGAAGGGGACACTTTTGTACTAGATCTTTACCTGTGTTACTTCATTTTCTCATCCCCTCTGAGAGTTCTTTTTTTTTCTTTTTAAAGATTTTATTTATTTATTTGACAGAGACACAGTGAGAGAGGGAACACAAGCAGGGGGAGTGGGAGAGGGAGGAGCAGGCTTCCCACAGAGCAGGGAGCCTGATGCAGGACTTGATCCCAGGACCCTGGGATCATGACCTGAGCCAAAGGCAGATGCTTAACAACTGAGCCACCCAGGTGCCCCCTCTGAGAGTTAGTTCTTGGTAGTCCAGGGTGGCAGACTGGTAACACAGGTGTACCATCAAAAGTAATAGATACGGGGGCGCCTGGGTGGCTCAGTCGTTAAGCGTCTGCCTTCGGCTCAGGTCATGATCCCAGGGTCCGGGGATCGAGCCCCACATCGGGCTCCCTGCTCAGCGGGAAGCCTGCTTCTCCCTCTCCCACTCCCCCTGCTTGTGTTCCCTCTCTCAACTATCTCTCTCTGTCAAATAAATAAAATCTTAAAAAAAAAGTAATACATATAGTATTTTACTTTATTTATGAAACTTTATATCTTAATATCTATATATAGAGATATATCTATATCTTAATCTACTACATTAGTAGATGTGGAAAACAATATAGTCCATGGCTATTCCCTTTCAATTTCATATTATCTAGTATGTTTCCTACGTATACTTCTTATGAATAGTACTCACTTGTCACTGACATGAAATACAGTAGTGGAGCCAGAAGGAGATTTTCCAGAAAAAAATTTTAGTGTGAGGGAGAGGTTTCTTACTGGGGACTGGGAGTGGGGGGAAGGTGATAGTATTAGAAAAGATGCATCTGGTGATGGAAGAAGAAACTATGCTTGCTGTTAAGGCAGCTTAAGATCCTCTGACTACTGAAGGAAATTGTGGCAGACTCAAAATTGTTTGGTTATGCAAGATGCTTTTCATAAGTTGTTTCCTTTATTGTGCCTATAAAAGATACCATTAACATCATATTTATGTCATTAATAAACTTCCAGGATCCATGTAGTAGGGTGTAGTAGTAGAGTTAAGATACAAGAGACAACAATGGTACTTACTTCAGAAACATTTATTTGGTGTATTACACTGGATAGGGTGTATTCTATAAGCCCAAGGTTTACATATGCAGTTGAATCATACATTCAATAGTAGCCAAATTTTGGTCTGTCTTTAGTATAAACATTTTATAAATAAGGGAACTAAATTTAAAAGAAATTAAGTAATATGATAATATGTAGCAAGTGGAGGCATCCGAATTTCAACCCCAATCTAAGTAGTTCTAAGGATTATGTTTCTTCCACTAGATCATTCTGCTTTCCCTCTAAAATACTGGGACGAATCTTTATATCTTTATTTGAAGTTATTTAAAAATTATAACCCTTCCTGAGGATAGCAAAATTGTGTGCTATTGCAAGATAATTACAGAGCACATAGTAAGGAAGCAGAGGTAATGTCTGGTAATGTTTTTGGCTCCCTTTTTCTGCGTACGGTTGTCCAAATGATTCAGTGTTATGCAGAATATGAAATACTGTTAGAGAAGCTATTTCAGAAAGTTGACTTACTGTATAGGTTTCTTTTTGTTTTGTTTGCCTTTTTTTTTTTAGAGAGAGAGAGAGAGAGAGAGAGTGAGCAGGGGGGGGCAATGGGAGAGGGAGAGAATCTTAACTCTCGGGGCATGGGGCTCGATCTCATGACCCTGAGATCTTGACCTGAGCCAAAATCAAGAGTCAGAAGTTTAACCTACTGAGACACCCAGGTGCTTGCTTTTTTTTTTTTTGCCAGTACTATTCATAAGAAGTATACATAGGAA